ACGCGGCCGGCCGGCCCCCGCAGCAGAGGCCCCGCAGGACGCGCCCCGCAGCCTGGGCGATTGCTGCGGGATCCTCAGACCAGCCCAGGAAGTTCCTGTGACCTCCTGCCCCTGTATCACTGTGTCCCTGTGAGCCAACCGTCCTGCGCGTCCTACCACGGCCCTTCAGTGCTTGACCCAGACGAAACTCCTACTGCGAGCACAGATTTCACACGGTGCTTCCCTTCTGCCTTCCGTAAAACCCACCCCCGGCATTTTTTCTGCTTCCTGCATCGAACCAGTAAAAGCCAGGATAATTAAAACAACAATCAAAGAACTAAATGAGCATAGTAGAATTGCAATAGCTAAAATCCAGTCAGTTAAAGAAAAAGCACTGTGATAAATAACCCAAAGAAGTGAAATAGAAGAATCTTCTATATACGCCAGTACAAAGAGGGAACAACTTCAAAAACTCTTGAGTAAATGCACCATCTTCAACAGCCTAAGGAAGTAATTCCTTTTCTAACAGCATGGAACACGAGTACACCTCTTTTTTTTCACCCTTCAAAAGCAGTGCTGATAAATAAATGCATCTTACTACATGCAATGTATTGCAATAATATTTTTTACTGTTGCAGACTACTTTTTAAAACTAATTACAATATAAATTAAAATAATATTAGAAACAGACAAATTGAGGTTGTTTACGTAGCTGGGTATGATTACCAAGATTACCATTATAGAGAAATTTTAAGACTATAGACTGAAGGAAATTTTTTCTCTTCCTCAAACAAGACAACATTCATCATCTTTCTTTCCTATCCATAATTTTTTTTTCATATGTGGAAAACCTGAAACCAAATCATCTTCCCCATTACTGACAGCATCTCCATTTTGAAGAGAACAATGTCTCTTTTATCTTCTTCTTCCAAAGGCACATATACTTCCAGAATAATCGTATACACAAAACTATGAAATAATGTACGTACGTCAAGGACTGCAACCGTGATCAGTGTGGAATCATTATTCCCCACACCATTCAACGCAGATGTCCACTGAACAATCATGCAGTTTACCTACGCACACATTAATCCTGAATTTAACATTATGATCTAAAAGATGGTTTAGAATTGCCTAGGGTGCCCTTTTGATGTACGTAAAATCTAGAAACCGCTCCAGCTGTTGTCTCACGAGAAAGCACCAAAGGCGAACCAAAGCCGTTTGCAATGACTACAGCAGCGTCACGCTGTGTCACAGAATCCAAAGAATTGTTGCACAGTATCTGAACTAGAAAGTTAACTAAAATCCAACATCTGAAATAAAATATGAACATTGAAAGTAGCTAGAAGTCAAAATTACATAAATCCTAGTAAAGACACAATTCCTACCTTTAGCTTTCAGGGATCTTGTAGCCAGATGTTCCCTTTACACCTGAAAAAAAGACAGAAAAAGAAAGCATTAGTGCTAACTTCATTTTTAAAAAGCTTTTAAAAATGTTATCAACTGGCAAATGGTTAGCTCCTGGTGATGTGAAGATTCATCCATAGACGCCTGTTGATGCATAAAGTTTGGGCTGTGGGCCCAAATACAATATCCCTGCAGACCTCTATATTGTATTTCAAGCTCACACATTTCTGGATCCATATCTGGACATGAGACAGCCTTGACTTCGCCTTATGTAAACAGAAGATGTTCTGAGTCGCAGGGAACAGAAAGCAAACTGTAAACATTCGGTATTGCAATGCAAAGAAAAAGGAAGATTTAAAATTACATTTCAAGTTCTTATTAGCTTAAACACATAAGCTCTTCCTATTAATGTTTATATTGTCTTAAGGTATAATATCTTATGTTTGATAGATTCCTAATGTTTATATTATGTGACTGTTCTCATACCATCAATGAAAAACACTGTCAATATTTTGGTTTTAGCACTACACAAAACTAGAATAATTAAGACACTTGTAGAAAAGATAGTGGACAACAAAACATTCTCATCTCAGCCCAGGTCAGCTGAAAAACAGCCGGCTAACAAAAATAAAATGAGAACACAGGATCCTTTCACGTGTGCCAGCGGACAGAGCCAAGAACAAGGAAGGCTTATGCACACAAGGAGACTTTTAAGTGGTATAATACTCTGACTTCTAAACAGATGAGTGTCTTGTAAAAGTTTACTGCCTTTTTTTCTTGTTTTACTGATGTATTTTCTTATTTGGAGGCTAAAAATGCATTCTATTTAGTGAATTTTTAGTTTTTACTGAAATCTGATTTTTTTACTAAATATCTGTTATTGCCCATTACTGAAAAAACTTTGAAAAACAGGTCAGAGCCGTTCTTAGCAGACAAGATCACTGGGATCGTGCAATAGCCAGAGTGAGCCGGGGAATCAAGAATTATTTGCAGAAAATACAGCACAGCAGACAACCTATACATTCCACCTCCGTGGCAGCTGTCAGGAAAGGTGCATCAATCTCCCACGATCTGCCCCGTCTATGACCAGAACACCCTGACAGGCGGCAGAGGCACCCTGAACACCTTCAGAAACAAACCAGACCCTTCTTCTGACAGCAGATAGCTATGTTTGAAGCATTAATTCACCAGAACTTGGCACTCTGCAGAAGGAGGGCCAAAGCCCTCCCCACAAGGCGCGCAGCATTCTTTACCACTAGCAGTGCTGGTTCCTCTCCCTCTTTTTGTGTTCCTGCCCATAAAAACACCAAAATACTGGGTGAGAGGGTGTCCAGGAGCCCAGCTCTTTTTGGGAAAGGGACAGCCCGCAACGCTAGATCAGGTCAGCCACCTGAGGCTTCCCTTTGCTGAGTCTTAAAAACCTTCACGGACAGAAATTCCGTAACATCCCTAACAGCCTGCTCCCGTGCTGCACAACTGCCTGGTGAAGGCACGTTCCCGCAGCCCTGCCACCAATCCAGGCGGACTGCTGGGAAGCTGTTGCCTTCCCTTCTGCCATTGCAGTCCCATGCCATGCAGCTGTCATTTCGTCCTTTGCTTTGTATCGCTTCACCTCACATTTTTGCGGTTATAAAAAATACAGTGATAGTGTAACGAAAACATAAAGACATTGGATGTATTCATTTCAGCACAGAATTGATGAATCACTGTTTTAATCGCTGCAGGTGACAGCTCTCTGCGCTGTTCGGAAGGCTGGGCAGTCTCTGGCCGTCCGGCGCTCCCCGAGAAACGCAGCGCTGCGGCTTTAAGGCCCTGCGCAGGGCTCATCCCATCGCCACGGCCCCGCAGCCGGGGGGAGGATGGGCGCGGGATGGAGCTCTCCCCGCTCCTCGGGGGGAGCAGGGCAAAGTATGAAACGCTCAGCGCCAGAAATCAGATAAAGACCATCACCTCAGCAAGGACCCAGGTAATTACTGCAGACAGACATACACCTTCCCGAGTAAGGAGACAATCCCTGTCTGTACAGTTCCTCCCTCAGCCTCTGTGAGGTACAGTATTTCCTTTTCGATGCAGCATATTGTCGGGGAAGGGATTGTGATTTTACTGCAGTAAGATGTGAGCTAGAAGATAAGGAAATAGATTTTGCTTAGGGTATGAAATTCACACTAACGAATGCTATGTAATTCATCTGGATGCTTTTCTGTACCTGCAGCAGTGATATTGTGATTTAAAAATGATGCCATATGCTGTGACGTGGTAACCTCTAGCACCAGTTCGTTATCCCAGAAAAAAGAATCTTGAAAATCAAATGCAATGTAAAGAATCCAATTCTATACAGAAAGCTTTACCATTTTTTAGCACCTCCATTAAAGAAAACTGTACCTTTGCAGAAGTTATTTTATACTATTCACAGTAAAACTATGTCATAGTCTTCAGCAAATATAATTTGTTCTTTCATATAGATTGATTAACTGTTATCCACATGCAATGCTACTATTGTAGATTTACATACAGAACATCTCTAAAACCCAACTGAACTTTGAAGTAAAATGGCAAAACAATTTTCGGCCATCAAACATCAAGAAATTCAGGGTGAAAATTAGGTATTATATCACCCTGTTGTACTTCTTCGGTATTGCAGAAATTGTGGAGGTTTTTTTCAAGCCCAGGCCAGACTGCTGCTGCAATCTGGCTGATCTACACAGTAATCCAGTGACACACAGCAGCTATAAACTAGATAGTTAAGCCAAGTTTATATTTATGTTTGGCACAAAGCAGCCAATGTGCACTGATATAATCTTGTCACATAAATTCTGCAGTATCCAGGCAAAAAAAGGATAAGCAAAGAATACTGAGTGTTCACTTGTGGATTAGCCAAATCTAGATTTTTCAGCGAAAGGATGGTAAAATTACAGTAGGTCAGTATGTTACAGGGGAAAAAAAGAAACTTTACTTGCTTCATAAGCCCTGAATAAAGAGTCTATTTCCTTAGAGTTGATGGCATCGTAAGAACCTACATACAGCAGTGAAATATGCAAAAGCGCATGCATTGTTTCAAATGCTTGTGGCATCTTCACCACTTGCAGTAAAACTCAGAATCAAAAAGGAAAAATAACTTTCACAAGCAAAACAATCATGTTGTAAGTTAAATGCATGAGCACATTATCTAAATCACAGATGAGACCAAATCTAAAATGACCGCACACATGCTCAGGGTTGGCTTAAAAAAACTACATTTAATAGGATTAAAAAAACCAAAACCCCACATTTTCTTGCAAACACAATACAGTGGTTGACTGACTATTCTTTTTAAGAATAAGCTTCAGCCTTAAGGATGGCAAATTATCTCAAATAATATTTTAGATCAGGATTAAGCTTAGAACAGGCACTTCATTTCAGAATTGTCACATTTAACATGGGTGACAGCATATACTCAGAGAACACGCCAATTTTTTCCTTCCTGTGACAGGTAAATCTTAAATAACCTGTCCTTAGTGGACAGGGACAAGTTGTTGATTTGGATAAAGATGCTGTTCATATTTAAATTACTGGAGGTACTTGCTCTCACATGACAATCTGAAATCTAGTCAATGACTAGATCAGGCAAAACCATAATTACAGCAACTGTCAATTGTGATCTATTCATGCAAACACTCAAAAATGCTTCCTCTCTCTAAAACTGTTCTTAGGAATCAAAAATGCATTAAAAACAAAGAATGTTATTCAAACCTGGAAGCTTGAACTGACTGCAATTCCTTTAATATCCATGAATGAATCCCATTTGCTCTAGAGGTGAATAAGGTCTCAGTACAACTGGTTAATTTGTACAGGAGTTCCTCTATAACAAATATGCTCGGGATAAAGATGTGGCCAATGACTTCCCATCAAACACAGCAGGATAAGGGCTTCCCATCTACACGGCACATAAAATAGTAACTCATCACTATTAGCTTTAACAAATCTCTGTGACTCTAACAAAATTCCAACTAGATATTTTTATGTATCTATTTTATTTTCATTATTTGACTATTTTTTAATATTGTTATCTTTTTTATATCCCCTGTAGCTAGAAGAAGCTTCAATGAAAAGAATGGACAAAGATGCAGAAGCATTAAAGGCAGCCAGAGCAGAGCTTTGTGAAGTGAGACGACAGTGGCACCATATGCAGATGGAAATTGAATCTCTCCACGCCGTGGTAAGCACCAAAAAATGAAACTTAAAATCTAATGGGATAAATACATCTTTTTGTTGATGTAAACTTTTCCACAATTCAGTTTATGTAACAATCCCACCCACTATACAGCGGAAATACAACACACGCAGAAATGCAAGGCTGTGTGGTGGACTTTCAGCTCCTCTCACAGAGCACCAACCACCAAGCAATAACCCAGGCCATTTGCTCACATTTAAGAGCATCACATCTTGGTTCAGGATCTGCCATTCAATATACATGTGTTTGCATGTTCTCACGCCTGCCAAACAGATACTTGCATGATACTCCCTCATGAAGCTCGTGGTCATTCTGCCTAACCAATTCACATCAGGCCTATAACTTTTTTTGAATGTGTGGGCCAAATTTATCAATTCATTCATGATAAAATATGTCAGTGATTAACTGAATTCAGTAGTACAGATGAGCTGCAAGAGCCCACAGACCTCTCAGTTTTCATACAGTGCTGCACTAGATACCGTTTTAACCATAGAGGTAAAATCAGAGCTCTGTAAAATCAATGGCAGTGGACTGCTGGTACAACAGAAGGCTACATTTTTTTATCTTATCTTAAATTATTACAGATTTTACTGGAAAATTTCTCAGCAAAAGTATTATCGTGAAAGCTTTACTCCTGTTCCTAAAGAATATTCTTAAAAGAACTGATGTAAAAATACACAGATTGTTAATGAAAAGTACATACGAGATCTTTACACATATACTTTCCAAATCTTATTATGAGTTAAATTTCGCAGGAAAAGGGTTTGGAACGTTCATTGCGTGCCACAGAGCAGCAGTACCACACGCAACTACAAAATTTAGAAGCTGAGATTGAATGCTTAGAGAAAGAGCTACTGGAAGTGAGAAGAGGTATTGAGAAACAGCTTCAAGAGCATGAAATTCTGCTGAACACCAGGATGAAACTGGAGGAAGAGATAGCAACGTATCGCAGTCTGCTTGAGCAAGAAGAAAGCAGGTACGTTTTGTCTAGAGAAAAAGTACTCAAATTTATCATCCATTTCGTAACTTTTCATTGAAATAATCATCAGAATTGTAAAGACATTAACCAGTCATTAAAAAAATACAGTATAAAATCCTTAGAAATGGTTTCATTGTAACTTAACTTCAGTGAGTCCACACTTTCTGGAGCTCAGAGTGTCTCCACGATGCACCGCAGCTAATAGCACACTTACTGCATCCTCACTGGAGGCACTGCATGTTGGAGGGATGTAATGGGATACATGACTTTGTATCCCATTAGTTGCCTGACGTGAGTTCTGTTTGTCTCAGATCACTGATGAAGCAAGTCCACACGCGTCAAGTTCTGGGAGAGGAGTTCACGTCTCATCACATGGCAGACACCCCTTGCATGTGGAGTTCATACTACTCAGTATCACTCAAAGTGTGTTAAGGCACACATTAGAATGCTATTTAAGAATATGCCTTCTAGTGACATTTTGCCTTGGTTGTAACTCTTCACATCTGCCCTCTCCCTGGTACGGAAACACCGCTATTTTGAAATGTAGACATGAGAGTGGCAGCTATACAAATGTAAACAACAAGGAGGAGAAGGAAAAGGCCAAATATCACGTCTTGCACTCAGCACTGGTGTCCTGTAACAAAACCAGGCACGCGGTTCAGAAACCTTTCGGTGGAACATTGCCTCCCCCAGTCCTTTCTACAGAAAATGGAGGGTTTCAGTCCAGGAACCTCACACGTTTGTGTAAGAAGGCTCCCAACAGGGGAGTCAGTTTCAGATTTAATGCTCCTAACTCTGAAAATACACACAATTCAGTAATAATAAAATTAAATAACTCTTCTTAGCACACAACAAACTGACTAAAAACTGTCCGAAAATAATGACAAAATTGCAGATATTTTCAGCAACTTTCTTCAGCTCTATACTCAGAATGAGAAATCCTAACAAATAGTTACTACAGTCAAACAGAACTTCTCATAGTTCTCATATTTTTAAATTTTTCATAGCTGTTTGTAAGACAAGTTTTGGATTAAAGTAATTCAGCATTACTAGATGACTGCAATAATTTTTATTTTTGCAGGTTTCGTTGCTCTCTACCTGACCAGAAGGATGACAAAAAGCCTACCACTAGCAAGATTGCCTTTACACTGCCTTCAAGTGAGTTTTTAGACTTTTTCCCTTAGGGAACAATGGCCCTAAAGAAGGTACCTAACTGCCGACAAATTACTGGACATTACAAAAGATCTTCCAATGCAGCAGGAGGAAAAAGACCTGTAGGTCCTGCATCCTGGCCATATTCTTCTGCATGCCTAGTATATCTGCGTTTTCTTTTACAGATGGTGTAAAGAAGCATGAAACTGAGAAGGCGGAACTGATGACAAAACAAGCAATCCTAGATGGAAATATGATGAAGGACAGTGCTGAAGCTCATGGCACTGTACAGTAAGATAAACATGAATTTAACAAAATAACAATTGAAAGTAAATGGTGGGCATTACATTCCAGTAGGTGCAAGTTTTCCATTATTTAGTATCTGTAATATCATGCCCATACAGCCAAGAAGCTCCAGAATAAGTGACAGTTCTTGAAGGTAGATTGAATGGCATGTTTTAACAATATATTAAGTTTTAAAGTTCTTTTTATTACCATTTACTTCATAAGCTAACAATATCATGATGATGCTTCTGATTTGTAATTTCTATTTCTGTTAAGAATGAAACTATGAATAATTCATCTAGTTAAGGTTGAAAGCAAAAGAGCCCTTACTACGTTTGTGAGTCCCTCTGGGGCAAATTTATGCATATAAATTCAGGCTTGGCTGCTCTAACTTGCTATTTGGAAACTCCTATGTTTCACCAACTACCAAACAGGAAACGAAGAGCTTGGCTCCTAAGTGGGCATGTGAAAGTCTGTTAGTATGTATTATTCACCTTAAATTGCTTTAATAGTATTGGATTGCCTCATTCTTTTTTTTTTCCTGCTGTGATTCTTTAAGCTTTTTTGTAGACTAGCATTTAACGTTATGTTTAAAACAAACTATAACGTACCATGTCACTAATACTTAACTGTAATCAGCTGTTGAAAACATGTAGAAAATCAGATTAAAAATTAATGCCATCATATGGTCCACCAATACACATTCCATACCTAAAGCTCATTTTCATACATAATCTTGTTCATCTTACACTATCAGTCAGATATGAACGTGGCTGCTTGACTGGGTGCAGTTTACTCTGCCTGAGTAAGGCCCCCACAGCCAGACTTTTAGATCTGGATCCTGACACATACTTAAAGGATTAAATCAATAGGATTTGAGTCCCTAAACAGTTGTGAATCAACTGGCTTTTATATTCTCCATATTTTACTTCTGCCCTTTTTTCTTTTTTATTTTCATGTAGGTCTACATTCTGAGGTTTGGATTTGAACTAGATTTTTCTCCTCCCTATTTTGAAGGCTTTCAGATGCAGGAATTCCGGTTTCTTGCTATGTTTTTGAGCTTGGATTCCAAACTTTCTCCTTGGAAACAAACTGCCTGATGTGTTTGGAGCAGTGGTTTTGTATCCATGTCTACTTAAAAGTACAAAACCAAGAATATAATTAACCTTCACCTTTTATTTAGCTTTTCTGGAGAATGAACCTGTGGAAAAAAAGAAAAATTCTAGTGTCTCAGTACCCATCTAAAATACGTTGACACTTTATTATGCAATTTCTCTCTACATTTTAAAAGCAGTCCTGAAGATAGATAATTCATATTGCCTAAAGGATCAAAAATACATTTGCTTTATTGTTTCAGGACAGAAAAAGTGGATGAAGTCATTAAAGAGTGGGAAGGTTCTTTCTTTAAGGACAACCCTCGCTTAAGGAAAAAATCTGTTTCATTGCGCTTTGATCTCCATCTAGCAGCAACGGATGAAGGATGTTTACACACTAAAAAGAAAACGCTTCCTGACATTGAAGTCAGGCTGGTAATGAGGAGATCTTGCAGTATTCCTTCTATCAAACCTTAACTTACAGCAAATTAACCCGAAGTTCATCTCCAACGGGCTCTGGAAATAAACTGTAGATGGACTTACACGGCCTCCTATCTTGCTACAACTACAAAATCGTACTAAGTACTTTGATGAATCCAATAAAAACAAAGGGAGAAGAGCAAGGGAGTTAAGATTCCAAGAAACCTAACTTCTACTAGTTTTATACTTTGGGTGCAGCCCTTTAATTTTCTCATTATTGCTGTTGTTTTGTAGTATTTCACCAAATATTAAAAAATTTTAACTATAACTTTATACTTGGACATATTCTGCCTTTGTAAAAGAGAACGCGTTTTCTCTTTCTGGAAATGAGAACTGCATATTTCATTCTCTTAATTATTCAGTATTGCATACATATCATGACTGATGAATCCTTGTAATGACATCACAACTGTCATACTTCTTGAAATATATTTTAAAATAACACTTTCTAACAGCAAAAACTACTTGCGGGGATGCTCTTAAAATACACAAACTATTAACAAAGAATTTTCAAAGTGGCTGGTATTTTTAAATGAATTTTTTTCAGACAACAACTGAGCAAAAATGTCTTTCCCTTACATAATTATACACAAGTTTTTAAAAGTGTTAATAGCCAGTAATATTGTAGCCGTATTGTCCCACTGATTTTGAAACAGTAATTTCCACTGAAAATCAATCATTCTTTTATTTGTCCACACATAGCTGTACTACAGCTTTCTTAGCCATAGCAAATAAAATTATACTCTTCAATTGTTCAAATCTAAGAGTCAACCAACCATTTTAATGCTGGTATTTAATTTTATTATAATAATATGTATTAAAATATCTTCCATAAATTCCTCTTCCAACAAACATGATAGGCAAGTTATGCTCTTGATCTATTATACATAACAAGTCACTATTGTGCCAGGGTGCAACTATTATTCCTTCAAATTAAATGGACAAAATAAGGGCTACATATTCAAAGTAAAATTCTACCATACCCGTGAAGTATCCCCCACTACTACTCAAAGTAGCTATGGGCAAATACAAAGTACAGTAGATGATCTTGTGTCTGTACACAGAAAAAACAGAAATACAAACTCAGACATACTTCTTTATAACATTATGAGACATTGCATTAAGATAAGAATGATTGTTAATGAGGATTTTTAAGAGGCATGGATGTCACAAACTCTCACTGAAGTCAATGGGATTGCAGGGGCTCAGAATCTAGAAAAACCACATACCGTATTTGCTGGATTCACAGCAGCATGTAAAAGATTAATTTAAGTGTCAGTATTTGCCTTATTACTTACGGCATGTGTTACAAAAACTGATACTACAAATTCTTTCAGTGTTAAGTTATGCTTCTATCTTTTGTTAATGGTAAGAACAATGCATTTATATTGCCCACAGTTATATCTACTGTATGAAGCTGGCTAATTATCATTAACCTTAATACTGATCCGGTGTTGTTAATACTTGAGTATTTGGCATCCTGAATGTATTAGCCTGCTCTAGTATTTTCACTATGCAGCTTTTTTTTTGTGCTTATACTCTGTATATTTTACAATACTTGAATTTAAACTAAGTTTTAATTGCTTTAAGGCACTTTAAACAGGGATATGAATTTACCAAAGTAAATTATAGTACTACAATAAAAAAGTAATAAAATAGAGCTTGCCCATGCATATTTTGTGAGTTTTAATGCATACACCTTAAAAGGAAAGAAGTGACAGAGAAATACAAAATAAAAATTGTAGATAAGAAAATCTGTAGTGCTGCAACCAAGTGTTTTCTGAGCTCTGCTCTACAACTAGAAAGACACAAATTCTCTAAGAATGTTTATCATAACATGTAAAGTGAGGGTCCTCCTGCTACAGAAATTACTCTTCTTCTGGTAAATCCGGTAACCCTGCGCAGCTCTAAAGGCCTTTGAGTAGCTCACAAGAAAGAAGACAGCATCTGACATACAAAGTTTACAGTTTAAAAGATAAGCTGACAGGCAAAGACATAGCAGGCAAGTATGTAACAGAAACTTAGCTTAAGGCATATATCTTTAAAACCGCTTAGGCAGACTTCCTCATACTGGAAGAGCATGCGTAGGCATATAAAAATTACTCTACAAATACATGGAAGGGACTGCCATCTCTACAGTAAACAATAATGGAATAATCTTACTCACACACACTTATTTTTTTCTTTAACCAGGGGCTGTTTGGCTTCTTCTCTGTCCTACGGTACTTCTTGGGCTATTATCTTCTCCACATAACTTTATTTTTTTCTTCCCTAATGATGGAAACCTTGTCCAGCATAATACAGAAAACGCAGCTGACTTTGCCTTGCAATACAACCTCCATATTATTTTAGAAGAGAAAATTACTGTGTCTCTATATCCCCATTGTCTGAGATACTATGTAACTAGAAAAAAAAAAGTTGACCTTCATTATATATGTTATTTCACCTCTATAACGGCCTGACCTCATGGTTTCTGAAGCAATCTCCCTGACCCCGATGACAGCACAAGTACATCCTGAGAAATTTATTCCAGCCACAGTAGTTGCCATTGTTTAACTGGGAACTCGACTGCTCATAAACTATACAACTTGTGTTTGAAGTTTGAAGCAACTGGCATAAACCCAGTTACGCTGTTTTATGATCAGAAACCTGATGCTCTACAAAAAAAAAAAAATAAAAAAAGAAACAGACTGCAGTTTAATAGTGGTTTTTGTTAACACACAACACAGGCTGCCCACTCCTACCTCTTCAAGGCTATTTTCTTCATGTGGGACTTCCTGACACTGACTTCATTAGCTGCATTAATTGCTGCCACTCTAGAACTGGTTCAAGTGTGCATCCTGGTTTTAACTAAGTTTTCTCACCTTACAGTACATATATATCTTTTGCATTATTGACAATTTCTATCTCTTCAAATGTAAAGGGCTTACTCTTTTGTTCATAAACTACCTGAACTTCCACTAGCGTCAGCATGAACTCCATGTGGGCATAAGAAAAAGAAGTATTCACAGTAACATCTCACCCTGATTTTAGGTCAGTTTAAACCTCAATGAAAAAATACAACACTGAAGCCTGATAATATGGCAAAGAATCCTTCCCCTCTGTGCTGCTAATTAAATTCAGACCAGCTGAGCTACTGCCATCCAATACCTGCAAATGTCTGACATAAAAATGAGTTTCATTGTCTCAACCTACTTTCCAGTGAGTTTGTCCTCATTACAAAGCTTATGAAACTGTTGCTCATTAAAACAGTCGGGTAAGAGCCAACTATTTAGAGCCCCCTGCTTGGTATGATGCAGTATAAACAATCCAATTAAATGAGTAAAACTACTTATGTCTTACAGTATATTAAAAAGTGTACGCAGGCAAAATCTTGCACTATCATAAGATGGAAATTAGGCAAATAGCAAAGTAAAAAATACAACAACAAAGTAAGGAATACATTACTGGCTTTGAAAACACATATAATGATTCAGAACTACTAGCATGGAAAGTGAGTATCAGTAAATGTACATGAACACTGTAATAAACATTTCAGTAAGCTGCACAAATTTAGAATTTATCTTAATGTTATCAACATTAAATGCATTTTAACACTACCAACAAAAGCATGTTTTAATAAAGTAGAAATGAATGCATGAAGTAGCCAAAACGAGGGGAAAAAACAGGCGATTTTTCACCGCTTAACAAGTATTTTCTCACCTTTTCTTTACAAATATTCTGCCCAGGTGAAACTGTAGACTAAAGAGAGGCATATTTGGCTGCTGGCTGACTGAGGAATCTTTTCAATTTTCACATTCTTTTAATTATCAGATTGAAGTCACATATTGTGCTGCACTGCAACAAATTTCCATTGTGGCCACAGATAGCACACTGTAAGCAGACGAGGGAAGAGTTCTTGTCTAATTGCTCATTAAAATGTGCTTATCTAGGAACGAAAGCAAACTGGGCTGGACAAACTGTAGGTATCAAGAAGAAACGGGCTTAACTTGCAGCAACCCGGTATCATATTAAATTGGCTTTTCTTCTTTTTCCCTTTCTACCACCTTTTGGGGTTAAGTAGGTATCATCTGTCTTTTTCTGTTCAAAAAAATCAAAGATGTTTCCACTATCTTGTCATGAACGTTCACTCTTTGGCTTTCCTTCAGCTGCCATTCACAGATCCACCGAAATCCTCTCTCATGGATGTCTAGAAATTTATCTTATTAGCCATAGGACAGCACTTCAGTGCCAGACTTCATATTTTCATTTTTAATTGAGTCACTTTAACAATTTTCACCACATAAAAGACTCCTACACTGAATGTTGAAGTCTGAAACTCTTCATCTTCCTCAAACACTCTGAGCCCCACGGTGTACCATGTTTTGTATTTGCAAGCTTTTCACCTCTGTGTGTGAAACTGTCATAAATTTCTGCAAGAAATTGTTCTAGACAATTCCACTGCTCCCAGCGTACTCTAATTCATAATCCTCTGTGATACAGTGTTGGAGTTGTCGGTCTGACTTAGTTCACAATTAAAACCCACTGAGTTTTATAACCTAGGGTCTTCCCCGCAGCGTGTATGCCCAGCCTTCCTCACGTGCCTCCTCTAGGCCCGCTGCTGTGCGCGCCCTCCATGGACGCGCCGCCATCTTCCCGCTTTCCTCGCAGCAAGCGCCACGAGGCTGAGGGCCGCACCCCGCTCCGCCTCTCCTCGAGGAGACGCCATTGCCAGAGCATCGCTTCAGCTCGGCACCAGCAAACG